TTTTTTTTATCTGTAGGAATTACTCTGAAGTGTATAATACTTATCCTAGTTTCTTGAATATACGCGCTTGGTCTTTGGTTTCCAAAGATGCCCGCTGATTCAACCAGGTAAGCGATTAACTGGCGGGGCTTTGATCAATTAGAGGGCACGTAAGCGTGGGAAACGCAGGCTCTGTACCTCCCTCGCATACATGCTCTCTAATCGATCAAGCCCCGCCATTTAATCGCTTACCTGGTTGAATCAGAGGGTACACGATCCATGGGCGTCGCCATTCTTGAACAGCTCCCTGATCTGAATTTTGAGATTTGCTGAAGAAAGAATTTAGGTCTCGGTGCATCGCGCATTCGTGGGCTATTCAAGGAAGCCCGCTCTAGAGCTCCATGCATAATTTACATTGATGAAATAGACGCCATAGGAAAGAAGAGAGCGGAGTCAAAGGGGGGCGAATTTGGCGGTAAGGAGTCTGAACTCTTCACTTTACTCTTTTTCACTCATACTTTTGTTTCTTCTTTCCTAATTCTAGTTACTTGCGCCTGTACAACGCTTCTTTTCAGGTGGCTCAAATGAAGAAGAACAAACGTTAAACCAGCTTTTGGTTGAAATGGATGGAATGGGAAGTGGACAGGGTATCGTTGTTCTTGCAAGCACGAATCGCCCAGATATCTTGGATAAAGTAAGTTCCATATTTTGCCTATTCAGATCCAGTCTGAATCAAAATTTTCTAGGCTTTACTGCGACCTGGTCGATTTGACCGTCACATAAATATAGATTTGCCTACAGTTATTGAGCGAAAAGAAATGTTTGACTTGTACCTGAAGAAGATCAAACTCGACCATCCCTACAACAAATTTTCTCATCGTCTGGCCCAGATGACGCCGGGCTTTACTGGTATGTCCTCAAATATCTGTTGCACAAAGAATTACTTTGCCATTCTCAGATTTTTCTTTTAATGCAAAATCATTGTTTACATCGGAAAGTGATGGCAGTGATTAGTAAGAACTATTATAAGTCTTTCTGCGAAAGGAGCTTTCTTGATTATATTC